GGAGGGGAGGGGGGGCAGGCGGGGCGTCGGCGGCGCGTCGTTGCGGAGAGAGGACGCGCTCCCCGAGCCGAATCCCAGGTTCGACATGCACTGACAGCTGCATTCTGCGCAACTCGCCGCCCAGCTGTTCACACGCCGATGCCCGCTGTCACAGGGAGAGGTAGACCCCACCCAAGCCCCTGCCGCCCTACCCTAAACCATAGGGTAGGGTAGGGTAAACCCTAAACCATCAACTCTGAGCCCTAGACCCTGAGCCCTAGACCCTGAGCCCGAGACCCTGAGCCCGAGACCCTGAGCCCGAGACCCTGATTCCCCACCTTGGCGCCGGTGCAGCGCGCGATGCGCTCCAGGAGCTCCGGCTTGATGTGCTGCACCAGGCTGATGCCCCGCGACAGCAGCTCCTCCTGGAAAAAAGAGGGAGCAAGGCGGATTCAGGGTTTCGGATTTAGCGCTGACCACTGAGCACCACCGCTCGTCACTCGGGCCTGCCCGGCGAGGCCGCCTGCGGCGCCCAAACTCGCACCGCGCGGCGTCACACAGGCAAATCCCCCTCCCCGGCCCCCCGTCGGGTGGGTTGACGAGTGTCTCGTTGCTGGCCTGCGCGCAGCGGCGCCCGCGCCTCGGCAGTTGCAGCGTTGAGCACCGCCCCTCGGCACCCCCGACTCCCTCGCCGAGGCGGCGGCACCCCTCAAGACATTGGGCAAAGGCGACAAACGCTGGCAGGCGCGAAACAGGGTGAGGTGCCCCCCTTGGCCGCGGGCCGGCCCCCAGCCCCCCCCCTCACACACACTCATAAACACACGCACATACACACACACACACACACACCTGTGCGGCGCGCGCCACGCTGCGCTCCACCAGCAGAACGTCCGGCTGCGCGCTCGCCAGCCGCGCGACCGCCACTCGCAGGTGCTCCCGCTCCTGCGACACGCACGCGCGCGCGTGTGTGGATCCGGATCGGGGTGTGACGTGTTGATGCGGGTGCGGTGTGCTGTGCGTGCTGTGCGTGCAGTGTTCACTGTGCTGTGCGTGCTGTGCTGTGTGCGCTGTGCGTGCCGTGCGTGCTGCGCCCACCTGGTCGAGCAGCGTGTCGAAGCTGGAGAGCTTGTTGGTGACGCGGTGGTACTCCAGGGCACCGGCCAGCAGCAGGATCTGCAGATCAAAGAAACCACATGAGAGCCACCGTAGGTATGAGAGTGGACGAGCGGGCGGGGGAACTATGATGGTGGAGCGCGTCCGGCAGCGGCCTAGGGACCGATCGGGCAGCGGGGCGCGTGCACGCGCGAGGGGCCGCGCGCATGGGAGGACCAAACCGTCGAGTCACAGCTGGCGCGGGTGGGCGCGGGCTGGCAGTGCCGACTGGGTGGGATATCGCACACGGCCGGCTGCGGGCGACTGCTTGAATTCCACACTGTAATGGCCCGGCCCCCAGCGCGGCCGCAGCGGCAAGCACACGCAAAGGGTCGGACACCTGGGGGTCGTCGATGGTACTGCGCATGCGCCGGTGCGCCACGTTCTTGCGCGCCGCGACGCCGCGCACGACGCAGCTGCTCTCCGGCGTGCCGCTGTCGGGGATCCGCTTAACCTGCGCGCGACACACAAACATTTCAGCGGCGCGCCGCAGCCACTGCTTGAGATTCGCCCCCTGACGGATAGCAGCCACACCTGAGCCACAGCCTCTCTCCCCTGCACCAACAGCCACGCGCCAGCTGAAGCTCTCTCGGGCCTCGCTGCCCATCCAACGCAAGCCCGAGGCGCAGCACAGGTTGCACCCCCCCCCCAACCGCCGCAAGGCCCACCTTGATGTAAAACCGCGGGTCCATCTCCCCATGCTTAGCCGCCGCCGCGGGCTGCACCGTCCCCGCAGCCTCCACAGCAAGCCGCTCCACCACCGGCGCCCACGCACGCCACCCCGCCACCTCCTCCGCGCGCAGCAGCTGCTCGGCGAGCCGCCGCAGGTGCCGGGCAGCTGCCGCCGCGAACTCGAGGCGGTGCAGCACCACCAGCGGGTGGAGGCCCGCGAGGGACCCCGCCAGGCCGGCCGCCGCGCCGCCGCCGGCCGCCGCCGCGGACGCCGTCGCGCCGGCCGCGGGGGCATCCAGGGGGATGCCATAGCCCGGCTCGAGCTCTGGGGGCACCTCCCAGGTGAGCGCACGCTCGCCGCCACTCGGGCGCGAGAGGTTCACAGGCACGCGCGGCCGCTGCGCGAGGGGCGGGTTTCGGGCGGCAGGGGTGAGGGGAGGGGGGGCCATGCCTGCCGTGTGGGCGGCGGGTGCAGCTTCTGCCGTCACGTGTGCTGCTGGCGCCAGGCCCTGCTGCAGTGAGTGCTTGGCGTCTAAAATGGCACAACAGGGCCCACGAGCGTCGCGACGCACAGCCCCCACACACCCGCAACGCGTGGCGCCGCCGCGGCGCTACAACGTCTGCTCTGCCATTTGCGTTTTGCGGCGAACCAGGCTCGGGGCCGTCACTGCGGGGCGCGGTGGCAAGGGACTGAAGGTTGGACATGCAGGCAACAGCGGCTGCGAAATCGGTAGCATGGCAGCATGTGCATGCCAACGCACCCAGCCGACGCCGCTGCTGGGCGGTGGGCAAGCAAGGCGAGGGCGGCTGGGCGCGTGGCAGACGGGCGCGCGTCGCGGAGGTGCAACGCAAGGTCTGCACACGCGTGTAGGCTGCAGCACCTGTGGGTGGAGGCGCCTGCATCATCAGATCCGGCAGGGTGGGGGCCGCCGTCCTGGGATTGCTGCTGCTGCTGCTGCTGCGCGAGGTCATGCTGTGAATGGCGCTCGGCATGGCCCTGTTGCGCAAAGCTGCTGCTGCGCTGCCGGATCCGGTGGCCTGTGCGCATGGGCGCGAGACCGGCTCGGGTGTGGTTGGGTGGTTGCAATGGAGCAGCATGACGATGGACAGGTGTGCACAGGGGACAGCACCACATGCAGTCGCAATGATTGTATTTGAACCAGGCTACTGGCCCATGGGGCACAAGCCCCTGCCCACAGCAACCGCATACTCACAGTAGTTGCAGACGCGCTGCCACTGCTGATCGGGGCTGTCGCGCGGCGGCGGGACACTGTTGCCAGTGCAGTTGGCGCAGAAAATCCGGCCGCATATGCGGCAGTGGTGGCGCCTGACCAGTAGGCCAAAAGGTGTCTCGCATTCATAGCATGCCTTGCACTTGCTGTCGTCCACCCAGTAGTCCTTGCTGGGAGCGTCTTTGGCCCCGAGCGTTCCCAGGACCTTACTGAGGAAGGCGTCCATGTCACGCCGTCATCTAAGCCATTTTTACAAAAGCTAGGACATGGTGCCTTGCGCCAGGCTCTGGCCAGATCGTCGCGAGCAGCACCTCACTTGTGTGCAACGATGCTCACTACTGGCATTGCCGATGCTTCAAAGTTTCCGCCAGTGCTGCGATCGGTTGCGTTATCAAGGCCCCCCTATGTACCATACGCTGGTGCAGTGCGGTGACCAGACTGTTCCTGAACAGCTGGCGTGCTGAGCTGACACACCCCAGTTCGCAGGCAGTGCGCGTTGGATGGCCATTGCCCAGGAGTGTGCGCAGACAAGATGACCCACGATATCATGCCACCATTGCTGCAACCATTGCTGCAATAGATTTTTCATGTATCCCGCACTTGCCCCTGCTGCAAGCCCAACTGCGTGCGGTTGGCATGCCCTGCGCACACCTGCTTCGGTGCACCCACAAGGAGCCACCAACCCCACTGACGAGGGCCACAGCCCCGTGACAACCGTATTCAGTGCGGCAGGCCGTATGTCTCCCCTAGGAAAGGAAACCCGTAAATACATCGCATCGGCAGCTGGACCCTGGGGTGCAGACCCCATCTGCTCATGCATGTCTGCAGACACGCATCTGCACCAATCACCGCCTCCATCCGAGTGACACCATGTGGCCACAATGCTGGTCAACATGAGCGGTGGGCTCAATTTTGACGCACAGCGCTGTGCGTGCGCAGTTGTTCGAGCCAAACCGCTGGCCACCAACCGCTAACCTGCTTGCGGCCCCTTTTGGTCACGTTCCAGATGCAAGCTAGCCGCCCGCCCGGCCTGTAGCTCCATGATGCGCTGCTTTGCAACCAGCACCCTCATCCCCGACTGCACAGCGGGCTGCGCGCGTGTGGCTGTGAGTGTTGCAAGCGCATCGGACGGCGTAGTGTGGGTTGGTTGTTGTGGTCAGTCCAAAGGGGTGGGCTGGATGTGCCCTAGCTTCAGCGATGGTCAGGATTACCATGAAAATGGTCATTTTTGAGCATGGTCATGCAAGTATAAATCCACGAAACAAGGCAATTTTCACAACTGTTTCTGTGTTGCAAACTGTACAAAGAAGGCCTGCCTAATTGCCTGGACCAGCCAAAACCACATGTGCCTACCGCCGCTGCTGCAGCTGCTAGTGCTGCTGCTGCTGCTGCTGCCGCTGCTGCTGCTGCTGCTGCTGCTCCTGCTGCTCCAAAAAGAAGCGTGCGCTGGTAGGCAGGTGGCTGAACGCCAGCTGCTGCGGGGGGCGAGCCGGCCGCAGCTCCCCTTCCCGATCTACAAACCTGTCGAGGCGGGGCGGGGCGGGGCGGCAGCGCGACAGCAAATGCGTGAGTGGGATCGGAGCAACAGGGTTGCGCTGGGCATGCGGAAGCAGGTGCTGTGTACAAGTGATCTAATGTGGTCATGTGGGCCTCACGACGACGCACAGCGGTGCAACAGAGCTGCGCTCATCAGTGGGCTGCCTGGGCAGTCCCAAAGTCTTGATTCTGCTCAATTGCTTGCCCGGACCATCGGCCCCCAACTGCTCACTCTATGAACGCCAGCGACGCCGCGTCGCGCCGCCGCAGCCCGCAGCGCAGCACGCGCGTGTAGCCGCCCTGCCGCTCCTCGTACCGCTCCGCCAGCGTGGTGAAAAGCTTGTGCAGTTCCCGGTCGGTGCGCACCACCGCCCCCGCCTCGATCCATGCAGCGCGGTCACCCTGTCGGGCGCGAAACGCCGTGCCGCGCAGACATGCAGGGGGCTCGTCGGCTGCAGTAGCCGCAGGTACACAATCAGGTTTTGCATCCGCGCCAGCACCCGTGCGAGACGGAATCAACTTCGCAGATGCCATTGCCTCAGCCTCCCATTGCTGCCGGTACGCTGCAGCCTGCCAGTTCCAAGGCCCCAGCTGTGCCCTTGATTCCCCCTGCCACCTTTTTTGCATATGTCACTACACGGTCCGCCAGTTTGCGCAGCTCCTTGGCACGCCCCAGCGTCGTCTGTATGCGCTCGTGCTCAATCAGCTGTGTCACGAGCGTCCTACACAGCGATTGCATGGGTCCAGGGCTGTGGCATTTCGCATGTGATGTGCTGTGCTGCAGCATGGCCACGCGCCGCTTGAGCCCGGCGGCGCAGACAAGGCAATGGGCAGTGTGCGGACATGCCGCGCATGCAGCAAGGTGAGTTTACCTGAGCATTGCCACTCTATGCGCCTTCGGCCTGCCAAGCTTGATTCGCTGCACCATCGTGCCACTTCACGGACGATTGTTGTGATCTGCCGCTAAGGCCTGCAATTTTTACAAAGTTATTGCCAACACTGTCACAGCTCGTGGAAAATGTGTGCGTGAGCGAAGCTGCACTCGGACTGGAAGCCAAGGAGCTTCAGCTAGGTACGTTTTGGCCTGCTGCTCAGCACACTGCTGCTCAGTGTGGCTCACATGCCCTGCAGGTTGTGCCAGGCACCACCTTGCGATTCCCAGAGGCTTTGGCTCAAATTCTGAGGTGTCTTGCCGCCGTAGCGCCCATTATCGTCCCTGCGCACAGCCCCACTGCAATGGATGACGATGAAACCGCCAGCGAGGCTCTGGGCTCTTTACACCAGTGCATAAGAGCTGTGCCTCGTGCAGCTCGAGCTTGCATGTGATGGCGAAGCTTGAGAAACATCAAACATTTAATTCTTGGCCCAAACTTTGGTGACCTGCAAATTGCTCTCTACAAGTGTCGCTGCAGGGATGTGCAGGCCGCTAGCGCCGTGACTGCGCCTGCTCATGGGCCAATGATGCAACCGCCCCTGCTACCTGTCGCCATCGCCCCTGGCCCTGGCGGCCAACAGGGCAAGCATCAACTGACGCTGCTGCGGTGACATCGCAGCCAGCTGGGCGGCGGCAGGATGCTGCTGCTGCTGCTGCTGCTGCTGCTGCTGCTGCTGCTGCTCGTGCTGCTGCTGCTGCTGCTGCTGCTGCTGCTGCTGCTGCTGCTGCTGCTGCTGGGCATGCATCTGCTGCAGCGCCAAAAGCTGCTGCAGCTGCAGCTGAACCTGCTGCTGTTGCTGTTGCTGCTGGCCCTGAGGCGGCGGCACTACTTGGTGGCTGCCGTCCACCCTGAATCCTGAATGCTGCGCGTGCTGCTGGTGGTGGGCCGCCTGCTGCTGCTGCTGAGCCTGTTGCAGCTCCTGTTGCTGCTGCTGCTGCTGCTGCTGCCGCTGCCGCTGTTGCTGCTGCAGCAGCAGCGCCTGCTGCAGAGCCTGCTGCCTTTGCTCCTGCTGCTGTTCTTGTGCACGTTGCAGCGCCTGCAGCACCTGCAGCTGCTGCGCCCCAACATGGCCCCGACCCTGCAGCTCCAAAAGCTGCTGCAACTGCTGCTGGTGCAGAGCGACCGCGTGCTGCCGCTGCTGCTGCTGCTGCTGTAACCCCTGCTCAAGATGCTGCAACTGCTGAGTGCGCGGCGGCTGCTCTGCCGCCTGCTGTGGCGCCTGCGGCCGCCCCTGCTGCTGCGGCTCTTGCTGCGCCTGCCTGTGTGCCTGGAGCGCCTGCATCAGCTGCGCGCTGCGCAGCGTCTGCTGCTGCATGGCATATTGCTGCGCCAGCTGCAGCTGTATGCGATGGTCAGCCTGCGCCTGCGCCTGATTCTGGGGAATGCCTTCGGCCTGAGGGTGCGCCTGCTGCCCTTCCGCCCGAGGCTGCGGCCCCCTCCTAGCTGCGACCCTGGATATAACAGCCGGCGCGGCAGCGGCAGCGGCAGCGGCTGCGGCTGCGGCCGCGGCCAGGCGGTCAGGGGCGTCGTCGCCGCCGGATCCGCCGGCCGCGGCCGCAGGCCGCGCGCGCTTGGCAGCGGGCTGCCTGGACGCCGCCGACTTCTTGCGCTTGGCGGCCAGCCGCGGCTGCTCTTCGTCCTCTGTGCCAGAGCTGCCCTCCTCATCTTCCGTCGCCTCTCCGTCCGCTGCGCCGCCGACGCCGGCGTCGTCTCCGGCCCCCCCAAACTCGCCCGCGCCGGGCCCGCCCCCCATCGCCTGCATGGCGACCTGCATGGCGATCGCCAGCGCCTCCGAGCTGATGCCCTTCTGCTTCGCCGCCGCCGCGGCCGCGACCGCGGCGGCGTTGCTGGGCGGCGCGGCGGACTGCTGCTGCTGCGCCGCCACGGTCGCGGCGCGCGTGCTGCCCCCGCCCGCCGCCGCGGGCTCTTCGGACACCGCCGCCGCCGCCGCCGGGCGAGGGTGGTGGGCAGCGTCCGCGCCGCCGGCCCCACCGCCCGCCACAGCGGCGGCGCGGGCCCCGCCGCCGGGGCTCGAGGCCGCTGCACCTGCGGCGGCGCCGCCGGCGGGGGGCTGGCCCGGCTTGCGCAGGGCCTTGATGGCGGGGACTAGCTGCTTCACGCGTTTCGTGAGCACCCCAACGTCAGGCATCCAAGCCGGGTGCTGCGGCGCGGCCCGGGGCCGGGGGATCTGCGCCGGGCTCCTCCCCGCGCCGTCCCCGTCCCCGCCGCCGTCGCTGTCGCCGCCGCTGCCGGCGCCGCCGCCCGGGTCGCCGCCGGCGTCCTCCGCGCCCGCGCCAGGCATGGGCATGCCCAGCTGTTCGTAATACTCCTCGGCCGACGAGCGGAAAGGCAGCAGCGGGTCCTGCGGCTCGGCGGGGCAGAGCAAGGGGAAGCGGCGAGGAGGGGTGGTGGTGGTGAGGAGGGCAATTGGAGCGTGTGGCGGCACTGCTTGCTCCACTGTCGAACCGTTTGCGGGGGATGGCCTCCATAACGCTGACGGAGGGTGTCCAGACCAGCAGGCATGCTCTCTTGCAGCCGCCCGTGGCCCCTCCCAAACACCCTGGGGCGCGCGCGCACACTCTCTCTCTCTCACACACACACACACACGCCACTCCTGATCACCGGCTACCCACCTGACTCATCTCGGGCCAGTTGCCAAATCCATGCGCCACAACCCCCGCTGCGAGCGCTGCGTCGTGCCGCGGCTGCCACCACCCCGGCAGCCCGGCCAGCAGCTTCAGCCGCGCCACCTGCCGGGCAGCTTCCCATCCCTCTGGCAGCTGCCCGGCCGCCCTCATGGCCCGCATCGTGTCCAGCCGCTCCCGCAGCTTCGCCGCCGTGCCCGCCGTCAGGACCTTAGTCACCGTCCCCCACTTTGCCCGCCCGCGCCGCCCGTCCGCCTTGCCGCCGCCGCCGGGGCCGCCCTCGCCACCGGGCGCCTGCTGCTGCTGCGCGGCGGCGGCCGCCGCGGCCGCGGCCGCCGCCGCCGCCTCCTCTTTCTCCTTTTCCCGCTGCACCGCGTTTGCCGTCTCTGCCGCCTCCATCTTCGCCACCGCCGCCGCCAGCGACTCCGCCAGCCGCGCCGCCTCCCCTGCCGCCGCGGCGGCCGCCGCCGCCGCCTCCCGGTC